ATAAAATAAATAATATTCATAATTATAATATAGTTTAGATTATTTTGTTATTATTAATATATATATATATATATATATATATAATTTTTATAGAAAATTTTGGGGGAACCGTGGCTCCCCCGTTACTAAGAAGGTCCGCCGCTGGGAATGGGTACTATATATAGAACCCTACCCGGACCCTATCTTTTGTTATCCCTGAGATTTAACATTGTCTCACTATAGACTATACTTATATTTTTTTTAACAATATATCAACATATATTGTGCAATTGTGTAAATAAAAATAATTTATGACAAATATTGTATCACTATAGAGTGTGTGTCACTATATAACTTTTTTTAATATCTTTACATTTTATAATTAAAATATTTCAATTTAAGTTTTATATATATATACTATTTTTTTTTCCTTTTAATCTCTTCTTATTTTTATAGAAACTAAAAAAGATAAAAATAAAAAATGATATATGTGAGATTAAAATAAATAGTTTTAATCATAGAAATTAAAAACTAAAATTATGATGATCAAATAGAGAATTAAAAAAAAACTGTCGGTGCTTTATTTTTTTGTATTCAACTTTTTTTTTGTGGTGTACAAAAGTAGGGGTGAGCATTAAACCGACACCCGAACCGAACCCGAAAAACCCGAAAAAAAATATTGTTTTTGGGTGGGTTCGGGCGGGTCTTATGGGTAAATCGGGTTAAAATTTTGATTTTATACGGGTTATATTGGGCGGGTTCGGTTTTGAATTTTTAAACCCGCTAAAAACCGAACCCAACCGAAAATGAGATAAGTTTAAATTTTTATTACTTTTGTATAACTAAACAACAATGGTCCAAATTTAAAAGTCTTTATTTCAAGTATAATATAGCCATCAATTTGTAACTTATTTTTTTCCTTTTTCTCATAACTTAGATATTTATTTTGTCTTCTCCTTCCTCATTCAACTTCTCAACACACTAGTCCATTTTTAGAGTTATCTTTTTGCTTCTTTCTTTGTCTTTCTTTTCCATCTTCTTATCTCCATTTTGAGTACATTTTGTGTGACTGTGATTTCTTATGGTTTTGTAATCTAACTTTATATTTCTTTTCCATGTAACAACTATGAATTTTGTTATCTTTTATTTTTGTTTCTTTAGTTTGTAAATGTTTCAACTACGAATCTATTTACACCATCTATTGTCACCTTCATTCTATTTTTATACACTATTTTAAAAATATTTTTTATCGTTTTAAGCTTCATCTTCGTTAAGATAAATTGGTCTACAAAAAAATTCAAATCCGATTATACCCACCCACTTAAATCCGAATCCGTTTCAACTCGAACCGCCTCAAATCGAAAGCTCAGTCAGTCGGATATGGGTCACATTTTTTTAAAGTCGGTTTACAACGGGTTGAACATTTTTCATCCGAACCCAACCAAACCCACCCATTCCTCACCCCTATACAAAATGATATTGATTCGTTTCAAAATTGATCACTCAGTCAATGCACTGTACTTTTAAGTCATTAATAGTCGTTCTCATCGAATTACTTTTTTATACGCAACAGCACCAAAAGAAAAGCAATATCATTAAATATTATCATAGCACGTGATTATTAGCATTTAGAAAATATTAAATTTTTCCTTCTTTTGCCTTTCCCTTTATCTCTTGTAAAAAATAATAAGAAAACAGTGTAATTTTTTTTAATAATTATTTGAAATTAAATTGGAATTTATTATAGGATAAATTGGCACAAATCTAGAAAAAAAATAATTTTCATCGATGCAACTTTTAAACTATAATTGATATTTAAATTTTGATTCCTCAAGTTCATACACCTGAATGCAAACATATTATTACAAATGTGAATGCAAATAATATATATATATTATATATATTACTTATAATTAAAAATTGACTTCATCTAACATTAAAATAAGTAAGAGAATAGTCTACTAATTTTATATGCCAGTTTAGATAGTTTAATAGGAAAATAAAAAAAGAAAAAAGAAAAAATTGCACAAATACTTATACATATGGTCCGTGTTGAAGTCTTGAAGATGATAAACATGTTGACGAAGACTTGATCAACTTGGTCTACGACTCATTCTCTCCTTTGTTTGGCAGAGGAGAAAAAATAAAAAGAAATAGAAGAAAATATGTAAAAATTAATTTAATAATAAATTAATTAATTAATTAAATTTGTAGCTATTTGATAAAGTGAAATTCAGTGAGAAATAGTAAATTTTGTATTTTAAAATTATGTTTTATATAAAATAAATAATATTCATAATTATAATATAGTTTAGATTATTTTGTTATTATTAATATATATATATATATATATATATATAATTTTTATAAATAATTTTATACAAAAATAATAAATGCAAATTATTTTTGTTATTATTGTTATATTTATTTATTACTATTATTGGGGTTTATTATCTTATAAATAACTTTATCTAAAAATAATAAATAAAATTATTATTATTATATGTATTTATAATGATTAAGAGTTTAATTATTTATAAATTTATTTTAAAAATATATAATTTTTATTATATATATATTATATACAATCTCTTTCCTTATTTTTATAAAAAGTAAATTTTTTTCACAATTTTCCTCATTTTAGAGGAAAAGTTTTTTTTTTTTTTTTGGATTCTATCCTATTTTCTTCACAATTCCTCTTTACCAAACAATACCAAATTTTTTATTTTTTTTACACTTACCTTCTCTTCCCTCCTCTTTTTCTCTATTACCCTTTACCGACGAGGACTATATAGTTAAAGATATAAAAATAATAATAAAACTTTAATTTATAATTAACAATATTATAAATATACCTCTTATAACTATTCTTATTAAAATATTAAATATGTAATAAATGTTTAGATATTTAAAAAATTAGAAAAAATTCTTCTGATGTTTGTCTTTTCTTAAGTTATGAAATCTAATTGCACTTCCTTTTGAGAAGAATACTTGTTTTTATTTAAAATGGTTATTTTTTTAAGAAAAAAAAAAGACAAGTCAAAATGTAGATTATTATAAAAAATATGAAAATGTTATAGTTGTTGTACGAGTACCACATGTTTAGATAGTTTAATAGTAAAAGAAAAAACAAGAAAAAATTGCACAAATACTTATACGTGTGTTACGTGTAGAAGAGGACAAACATGTTGACGCTAGACGGAGACTTGTCTGAGATATTATTCCCTCGTAGTTCTCTAGTTTTTTGTCTTCTTTCTTTCAGCACAAATAAAAAAAACAATGTCGACGGTTGACGAAGACTTGATTAACTTGGTCTACGAGTCACGTCCTCTAATTCCGAGTAAGCTCGTTTAGCGGCGCCAATATGATAGGATAATTATCTCATGTTACAGTTTATTATTTGATGCATCAAAAGGATATAATAGTATTGTTATATTATGTTTGTTTAGTGTATGTTTTATTCAATCCTTTGTTTTTTTTAATCAAAGAGACTAAATAACTCAAATTATAATTCAGAAGAATGTATCTCAAAGGAATTGATAGGGTCCGCACAAGCATGATTCATAGGTTCAACAAGTCACGATACAATCAAGTATGTAATTTTTTTTTTTTTAGTAACGGTCCTTATATATTGTATGAACAATCGAAAAAATGATCGAATCAAGATTTCCAGATAGATAGGATAGGATATTTGTAAATCTGACTCATAATTTAAATATATAAATTTATTTTTTAAAAAGGAAAAAATAGAATGAATTAATCGTAAATTATTATAAAATTTTACAATTTTTAACTCTTTTAAGGAAGAGATAAATAATTGTGGAGAAGAGAAATTAGACATATCTTCTTGTAACAAAACATGAATAAATGCAGGAGGAGATTCATATATTGATAAACCTTTTCTTGAGAGTAGTCTTTTCTTGACTAAAGCATTCGTCACTAAATTAGCTTCACGTAGTGTGTAGGTACAAGCGATAACATGTTCTTGTTGCATTATTTTGACAACCTCTTGAACCAAGTCATAACAAGGATAAGACCGAACACATCCCTCATTGATGAACTTCACTGCTATAAAGCTGAATCTAACTATCAAAATTCTCTTGCCCAACCTCTGGTCCTGAATAAGTCGAAGCCCATGACAAATAGTCCAAAGTTCAATTTGAATAATAGAACATCTACCCAGCCAACAAGAGAATCCTACGACGTACCTCCTCAAATCATCTTGAATTATGCCTCCATATATAATAAGCTTCACATTGTTGAGTTACGTCACCATCACAATTAAGCTTGAAAAGTCCCATTGGAGGGTTCGACCAATGAGGAGTAGAATGTTGAACCATGTTGCAATCTATTTGATACCTACCCATATGAGTTGTAATGCTACTATCAAAGATGACAGTGGTGCGTGCATTGATTTTTACCACTAGCTTATCCAGTGTTTGTTGAACACTATTGAAGATGTCTTGTTACAATGTTTCCAAAGTGAGCCAAGTGAGATGGCAAATTTGGTATCCTAGTCCAGTGAGTATCAGATCACACCAGACAAATTTTTATGCAACTAGACCACAGACTATTTATGAAGAAATTCACATCAAAGTTCTTGTTAAGAATCTTACTCCAAATTATCACTACATAAAGACAATCCCTAAGAACATATGACATGTCTTTTACTCCATGCATGCAAATCTAACATGTTGATTATGATGCTAGACCCCTCTTAACTCTACTAAAGTTCATCAAAAAGCTATCATGGCCTACTCTTCATCAAAAGACTCTTACTCTCTCTAGGCCTCTTCATTGCTAGATAAGCTTAAAGATTGACTCTAGATGAAGAAGATGATTATGAACTGATGCTTCATAACCGGACTTAATTTACAGGAAAAAAAACTTTCTCCTTAGAATGCTCCCAAATAATTATATCATGCCTAGCTGTATCAAAAGAAGGCACCTATCTACTAACTTCTGTCCAAATTGTTAGAAAATATGGCTTAACCAAGAGGAAGAGGGTGAATTGGTTGCTTAAAAATTTCGTGTGCAACTTTCTTAGTTTTGAAAAACTTTTCTAAATCTTTCCAAGGAAGTATATTAATCGATAGCTATAATAGGATACTAAGTTCAGATTCAATACAAGTCTAAAATCACTTAATTCTATATACAATGTTTATGCCTCATAACATATGACAACAAACATAGAAATAGAATTCTAAGAATATATAGTCAAGTGTAGGTAGAGAGAAAAATGTACTACTAATTTATACTAGTTCAGTCACATTCACTTGTGACCTATATTTAGTTCCCAATCAATCCAATTAAGGTTTTCCACTAATCTTTAATATTAGGAGTTTTACAATCACAATACCACAACCACATGCAACACACTTCTATACTATTAAATAAATCACTTCTTGCACCCGAAAAAGCATTTACTTGTAGCACCTCACTACAAGATTTCCCTTCTTATGAAACCTACTTAAGAAAACACAATACAAAAGTTTAGAAACGAATTCACCTAATGTACTAAACATATTAAAGTAGGTAAATCAACTAAAGTAGTTTATCCTTTCACTCGATGAATATGATGATTAATTCAATTCTTGAAATCTTTCTTTAGGTTACCATTAAGGTTAAAGAACCTCTTCTTGCAAAAAAAAAATGTTTCTTAGAAAGTGTTTTCAAAAAAGATATCACAGATTCAAGTTTCTTTGTTCTATATATGAAAAATGATACATATAAGTTTTCTGACAAAAATAATTAATTATTTACATTAATAATCAATTATTTTGTTCTTAGCAGATCTGTAAATCAACTAAGAATAATTTAATCAATTATTTTCAATGATAATCGATTATTCAAGAAACTAGCTTTTGAAATAATCGATTATTTTGCTGAATAATCGATTACTATAACAACTACTCCTCAGGTTACTAAAAAATAAAGCAAATAATCGATTATTTTAAGTGAAAACTTAATATCTTCATTTTTTATACTATTCCTCTTTACAAATCAATTCTAAAACTTATTTTGATTATCAATCATTATTTAGATAGAGATAAAAGGTTAAGTTACATACCAAGCACGCACAAAACACACAAGCAACAAGGCTTTAAACACTTAAAAAAGTTATCACTTGCACTTTTTTCTTTTAAGAGGCTCAAAACACAAAACAAAGTACAACTTCAACTCTTATCTTTCAAGAGACTTATTTGTAATCATCAAAACTAACTAAAACTATGTCTTCATCTTGAGCTTGATCAACACTTTCTATGGTTTGAGGGATTTGTTTGTCTTTTTCTGATGCAAAGCATGTCTTTTAATCATTTTAGTTGAATGTGAGTGCTGAGGAAGCTTTTTTATTTAATCTTTTAGTTGAACACCAACTACCTTAGTTTTTATTTTCATTTTTATTTTTTCCATACTCTTTAAATTTTCTAGATTATTTTCTTCCCAATCATGTTTATGAACTGTTCATGAATAGAGTTGTTATGCAAATTGATATTAGTGCATCTATAAGCAATTCCTAAACAATCAATCAATATTACACCTGACTTTTTTTTTGTTTTATATAAAATAAAGAAAATATAATAACAAAGAGTTTGAAACAAGTTAGCTAAATGGACACAAGTAATTTGAACTTTGTAGCAATACATAGAAATTTTATTGTAAATATCATATATTGAACATTGTCTAAATTATATCCATACATACTACATGAAATGAAAGTTAAAATATCATGTATGTTGAAATAAACTAAAGCAAAAAAGCATATTATTGTCCAAGTGCGTTAATTATCTTGCATCACCGAAGTCAATTAATTCAACATCTCTCAAGCTATCATACCCAGTATTTTGATGGCTACTACTTTCACCATGTTCACAAGTGTTATATGTCTCATGAAGTAGGTATTGATTCTCCTCAAAATTTTGGGTTTCATTATTCCTTGAGTGTTTCCCCATTCGTGTTATTCCTTCCAACTCCGTTGCCACTTCCTTCATATTTGGTCTTTCCTCCCCTTTAAGTCTCAAACACTTGGCAGCAAGAATAGAAACCTCCATGATCTCCTGTTTGTTTTCATCATCCAAAATACCCACTTGAAGAACTTTAAACAGGCAATCCTCTTTCAAGCAAGATAGAAAGTGAATTGTAAGACTTCGTTTTTCTTCTGAGCGGGCAAAAGAGAAAGGTTTCTCCCCTGTTAGAATTTCTAAAAGCACTACCCCAAAGCTATATACGTCACTTTTTTCTGTCAATTGGCTTGTTTGCATGTACTCTGGGTCCAAATAGCCAATAGTTCCTTGCACAATTGTGGCCAACTCAGTTTGATCAAGTGGAACCAATCTTGAAGCTCCAAAATCAGACACTTTGGCAATGTAATTGTCATCTAAGAGTATATTAGCAGTCTTCACATCTCTATGGATGATGGGTATCGAAGCTGCTGAGTGTAGATAAGATAGAGCTTCAGCTGCTTCTGTTGCTATCCTTAAACGAGTTTTCCAACATACATTAGCTGCTTGGCCTTCATTGTGTAAATAATCAAAAAGGGTACCATTGTTAACAAATTCATAGACTAGCAAAGGAACTTCTGTCTCTAAACAACAACCTAAGAGTTTGACCACATTCCTATGATTAATTTGTGATAGTACAATGACCTCATTAATGAATTGTTCAACTTGACTCTGATCCACTATTTTGGACTTTTTGATAGCGACAATCTTGTTCTTTGAGAGAAATCCTTTGAAAACTGTACCAAATCCACCTTTACCAATGATGAAGTCCTCATCAAAATTGTTAGTGGCTTTCTTAAGTTCCTCGCCTGTGAAAATTGTAGGAAGGCGAGATAAGCCTTCTTTTGTAGAAAGTTGTTGTTTTAGAATGAGGCCCCCATTTTGTTGAAAGAACTTCTCTTTTAATTTGAGGAATTTCCTTTTTTCATATATCAAGTACAACCAAGAAGTCCCCATAAATAGTGCAATTAATCCTACACCTACACCTGTTTTCATCATATAATAAATGCAATTGTCGAATTGAGCATTTATATAAAATAATATTTAAAAAGATAAATATTAGGGATATTAGATTGGAATCTTAAAAGATTATTTTAACGTGAATTTTAAAAAATATTGTATGAACGTAACAAGTATTTTAAGATTTTTTAATTTGGACTTCTAAGAACTTATATCATAAGAATTTATAATATTTGAATGAATATTATGAGATTTCAAAGGATAACATTTTTTTATAGAAAAAGGATATAATTAATAAAAAAGATAACAAATAATAATATTTGAATAAATAAAAGTAAAACCAGCGCATTTTTTTTAAGTTTCTTATACTCCTAAGTAGTATTTTCTATATATATTTTTTC